TCTTTTAAATCCTTTTATATGAACTTTTAGCTTTTCTTGAGAGCTGCATACTGGCCTTAACTGTTAACCCAAAAGAAGCCTGAAAATTTTGATGCTCCCAGATTCTTCAAATCGAAATGAAAAGTTCATGGCGCTAGTGCTATTTTTTTACCGGCACTGTATGTATTTCTATGGCGATGGCCGCAAAAATAAAGCGCAGTTAGCCACGGACGTAAAAACGTAGAACGTGTCAGCTGACAACAAGATCTATCTTATGGGATCTGCGTGTTAACAAAAACTCATCACCGGATCACCGTGACGTAGACGTTGCTTCTCTCTCTTTCTATCAACAGCCAACTTGCTATGTGTCTACGTACTTCTACGCTACGGGTAATTACCTCTGCATTAGGGTAAGAACATAGTGGAGCAGCGAGTAAAGAGCAACGAGCAAAGCGTCGATTTCAAACGCATATGTTTCAATAGGAAAGCACATAGTGAAGAGCAAAGCTTACATACACGTTTGTAATTGAAGCTATGCTCTTCGCCTTGCTCGCCGCTCCACTATGTTTTGACCCTTAGATGTCAACTAACTTGTAACTAACTACTTTTGGACATAAAAGATCAATAAGAAAAATATTTTTTTTTTTAATTTTTTTACTTGTTTATTTACTTTATTTAACATTCCCTCAGACATAACTTCAAAATGATAATATAAAATTTCGATCTTCAGTTTATTTGTCCCGAAATCGAAAAAAGGTATTTGTGATTTTAAACAGAAACTTGTTTAAAGATAACAAACTCCTAATTACGTCTGCATGTTTCATGCATTACTTTTCAACTAAGTTTCAAGTTAGTGTTTTGTAGTTAATTAAAAGTGGTATGTATTTTTTATCAATTGATAATTTTTTTCTGCAGGGTATGTACACATAATATGTATGTATGTAAATATATTTACCTATTGTGAGCGGCAACCTAATTTACTAGGGAAACATTTAAACTCTAAACCTTTTTGCTGAAGACTGTGCGGCTTTCTAGTGTAACCGAACTCCTCAGCTTTAATTTGCTTTTACCGAGATTAGTTTAACTTCGCATTTGTCCAAAAATTTATATATGTATTTACAGTAACGAGAAAAATTGTCAGAATGGAGATTTTTTTTAGAGATTCACAATGATTTTCAAGTGAATTTGTTCTATTGCTCATGCTCAGTATAGAAATTCAACACAAAATCAGTCTTGCCAACAAGTGCTACTTTGGACTGTCTCCTCTCTTGGCGTACGAATACCACACTCTGTAAGTCACTCATCATGCCGGTGGATTATTCGAGAAAAAGATTTCACGGAAGATTTACCGGCCTTTACGCATTGGCGACGGGGAGTACCACAGAGGATGGAACGATGAGCTGTATGAGCTTTTCAACGACATGGACATTGTGCAGCGAATTAAAATATGGCGGCTCCGCTGGCTTGGTCATGTCGAAGGCGACGCTCTGAAAGTATTCAACTCGGAACTTGCTGGTGGTAGCCAATGTTGCCGTTTTAGCCCTTTGGTGGCTAGATTTAGCTACCACATACTTTTTTGGCCACATAAATTTAAAATTGTCCCTAGCCCTTTTTTAGCTCTTTGGAGAATTTATTCTTACTTTGCATGGAAGAGTGGTATATACTTCATTTGATCTCTTTTTTTCATTTATGTAAGAGATGAATTTTTAAACTAAGAAAGACAGATATATATACATATATGTATGTATGTTCCTTACGTTTTTATACATACATACTGTAAACGTGTTAGGGCTGTTAACTTATCTATTAACGGTTTAGCTATAGTTTAAAATAGATAAGTTTGTGGCCCTTAATATGCTTAATTTGTTAAATGGCCCATCAAGTCGATTGACCGTGTATGTTCTTGTGGTGTGATTGTACCAGCTGCTGGTGCGACTTCAAAAACTATTTGAAAATTTTATCCTTGCACCAGCATGCTGGTGTCGTGAGTGGTGAAATTAGCTAAATTTTCTAAGTAAAAAGTATTTTGGCGGAAATTTCTTGTACTATATGAGTCAAAGCCGTGTTTGTGGAGGATTAAGTTCCCGATATTGCAGTTGTGAATTAAACAAAAAAAAACTAATTTGTAAAGAAATGAATATTTTACCAGCATGCTGGCAAGTTATATGCTTCGAGCCTGATGGTACAATCACTTGATGGAGCCAGCAAGCTGGTGTCGTATATTTCCCTTTTATACAAAAAGGTTTATGGTTGGATAAAATATTAGCTTTTCTCCCGAGTTCATTGGTTTTCTATACCATTACTTATTGAAAATGTTTGCGTGTATATTTATATATGTATATGTAAGTACAAAATTTTAGCTACCATTTTTAGCCACAACTACTTTTTGTTTAGCTCTTTTTTAGCGCCCTTTTTTCTAAAGGAATTTGGCTACCACTAAAAGTGATTCGCGGCAACACTGGTGGTAGCATAGAAAGACAGATTTTCTTGAAGAAATAAAAATACGAGTATTTTTTTTCTTGAGAGCTGCATACTGTTTTAAGAAATTTTGATACAAGAAAATATCTTTTCCATTTCTTTTGCGTTATTTTGTATGAATTTCTCGTTTTTCTTGAGAGCTGCTGAACTGAAAAAAAGCGTGCGGTATGTACATACAGTCAATTGATAAAGTTTAAGCACAGAGTTTTATGCAATACGGGCAACCGGTGTTTAAATATTTTATTTTGCGAAATTTTTTTTACAAATTACAACAAAAACAACAAAAATATTGCACTTTTTAATTACACTCTTCACAAAAAAATTTAGTCTATTCAATTTCAGTACAATAAAGGGAAAGTTTGAGATATCTAGGACTTACCATTGATTTTTGGGAAATTTTCATATTGAAGGTGTCGCTTATTTTTTTCCGTAGAAAAAAATCGTCGATATTTTTTTAATTTTGCATAAGATTTGGAACTCTCATTATTAGGTTTTTTTTACAATTAACTATATTTTAATAAAAAATTTGCGAAAAATAAAATATTTATGAAACAGTAACCCGTATTGAAAAAAACTCTCAGTACTGCACCTAGACTTTAGTGATGGACTGTATGTATATATCGACGGCTGAGTGGAAGGTCGACCTACGTGCATATCTCGGAAACCCGTGCGAAAACGCCCTATCTCAGAAAACTTTTCAAAAACGCCTTACTCCAGAGCTTGGTTGAAGAACGCCCCATTTCAGAATTTGATTAAAAACGCCCTACCTCGCTTCAAAATGTATTGAAAATGTGCTGTTATAGGGCAGCTGAGAAAAGGTCGTTTTTGAAACGATTTCGGAAACAGCGTTCTTAACCAAATTCTGAAATAGAGCGTTCTTGAAGTTTCCTGAATAGGGCGTTTTCGAACTGAATGCCGATATAAGTTGAACATCCACTCAGCCGTCGATATGTAGGTAATTTCCCGTAAATTTTTTTCATCAAAGACCCAAGTAAGAACTGCTTACATAGGAATTATTTCGATTCTTTATCACGCTAATCTTCCCGAAAGGATTACATCCGAAACGCATTTGGAACTTCTGTCTGAGTCACATACGTTTTTCTTTGACTTTGGTTTTATTTTGAAGTCCATTCAGCTGTATGTGGATGCATATGTGTGTATATATTAGGGTGGTTCCTAAAAAATCAAATGAACGATTTTTTAGTCTCATCCCTTAAATCGGAAGTACCACGGTCATAGATATCACATAAATTTTGGTCCCAATTGCAGTCGGTTAAGGCGTGTCGCACAGGGGGCAAAGTTCTGACTCCTCTATAGAGATTCAAAAAATTAAAATAAATTTTTAACCGACTTCAAAAAAGGAGGATGTTATAGATTCGTCGGAATTTATATATATAAATTTTTTTTTAAATGTATGTTGCCGCATAACTTTGAACCACGTTAACCGATTTCTATAATAATAATTTTTTAAAGGAAAAGTGGTATGTACCTCCGAGCTGGTCAAATAATAATCTGGTTTAGATTCGATCTTTGGGTCATGAAGAAGTTAACGATACTCTTAAAATTTTATATGAGAAATGAGGTCGGTTTTATTTTTTGATTAAAAATTACTTGTTTTTTTCATCTAATACCCAAAATCGATATTATCATAGTCCAAGATATAACATATAAATTTTGGTCCCGATTGGAGTCGGTTATGGTTTGTCGCAAAAGGGTAAAAGGCCAGATGCCTCTATGGAGACTAAAAAATTAAAAAAAATTTTTTCTTTTAATACTGAAAGTCGATGCTACTAAAATCGAGAATATCACATATAAATGTTGGTCCCGTCCCGATTTGAGTCGGTTGAGAAGTCCTTATAGGGTAATCTGAACTTTGACCCCTGTGCGACACGCCTTAACCGACTCCAATCGAGGCCAAAATGTATATGTGTTTTCTTCGACTATAGTAGTATCGATTTTGGGCAGGGTTTGAAAAACTGTCAGCAAAGCAGCAACATCATACTATTTTTGCTTTTGCTTAGCTTTGAAATTTTCGATTTTGATTCGAACTGCTTTGCTTTTGCTGTGACTTTGAAAAGTTTATTCTGTTTTTTTATCGGCAGTTTTTTTTAAACCACAGTATACAGTACTCCAGATAGCCAAAACAAAAAATGTAAATATGCTTATTTGACATATTGTTTGAATGTATTGGTTGATATTTTTTCACAGTTGTCGTTTTCGTTAACCCAAATGAAATCCAATTTAAATATTTTCTTATAGTGAAAAATATTTTCAAGTCACATAAAACAAAATAAAGAGAAAAACAAAATTCCAAGCAAATCAAGCGTGAAGCGTAAGCGATTATAACCGGGCGCAGTTCCTACATAAGTCAAACCGTGTTCCGAACACGTGAGTGAGTAATGGCGGGCTGACTTTTTAAAATGGTCCCATCGATTAGGCGGTAAAACAATTATTACTTAGCTTAAGGTAGAACTCTCTAATTTTCAAATGCGCGAAATTTGTATGTATTTGTTCAGCCGCTTATTCACATTTGAAAGGGGATAATGCATGAATTAATCCAAGTAAGGACGGTTTATGCAAATAAGCAAGCGCGTTTGTTAACCGTATAAAATGTATGTACATATATACACATATGCATACATATATATCAAAATATTCAAAATTACGAGATGAACTAGTTCAGCCCTCTCTGTTTGTAAACACGCTAACTCGAACAAAATTTAGATATTTTAACGAAAGTCGGTGTCGAAGTTGCCTTTGGTATAAGTTAGGATAGTGTTAAACTTTGGCGAAATCTGCCAATAACCACGCCCACTTCCCACGTAGTAATTAAAAATATTTTTGTTTTATTAGTATTTTTTTACGAATTTTGCTGTTCAAATTTACATGTCAAATGCATCAACAAACATTTGTGGGTACTTTTGCATCAGTCGTTGCCTATGGGTTAATGACAAATAAATCCTATACATTCACAATATTTCATGTATTAATTTTCAAATAAGCATATTGTCAATGGCTGGTTTACTGTATACTGTGATTTAAACAATTTAATTGCTTTTGATTTGCTGTGATAGTGCTTTTGCTGTGCTGTTATCTGCTTGGCTGTGCTGTGCACATGACGCTTTTGCAGCATGGTATATACATATTAACTCCGCGATCAATGCAAAGCTTATCAGGGTAAGCGACTAGTGGATTTGCGCACGCATACATATAATATCCTCTGTTTCTGCCAATTCGATGTTTCGCAGCAAATTTATAGTCAAATTGATGTTGATTTGCTGCTGCTGCGCTGTCTTTGTGCTTCCACAAATTGCTTTCGAAATTTCATAGCAAAACGGCAGCCAAAGCATTTGTTTTTTTCTGAATTGCTTTTGCTTTGCTTTCGATATCATACATGCCGAAGTCAAAGCACAGCCAAAGCAAATTAAATAAAAATATTACAGCATTTTCAAACCCTGGTTTTGGGTATTAGATGAAAAAAAAAAAAAAAATCATTTTTGATTTTTTGCGTCTCAATAGAGGAATCTGAACTTTGACCCCTGTGCGTCACGCCTGAACCGTCTCCAATCGGTACCAAAATTTATATGTAATATTTTCCACTATAATAGCATCGACGTAGGGGTTGAGACTTAGGAAATCTGATGCAAAAATTTGCTCCCTACATTTAAGGACCCTAATATACATACATATGTAAATGCATGCACATTCATATACCATATCTACATCCATCACTGTTTTGTTATTATCAACAATTCATTTCCAGCTCTATTGCACATATTTTTTCGGGTTTGTCGGGTAACATTCTTCATACTAAATTATCAACTTTTCTTTTCCTACACTACGTGAATAGCTATCACCGTATTTGCTGATACTTTTGTAAATAAAATATGTACTTATGTATGTACGTTACTCAGCTAAATTCTACGCAGTTGTAACTCTATTCCTTTTTAAATTCAGAGCATCTCCCGTATATTGTAAATGGTGTGTACAATTATGAAATAATTTCCTTAATTATTGTTAATCATTAATGGCACGAACTGCATGCCACTACTTCTGTGTCCATTCTTTCATACTCGAGACTATTAAAATTATTTTATTTTGAATGTCAATGTCTTTTGGGTATGTAGTATATATTAGGGTTCCCATCGATTTTTTCTATTTTTTTTTTAATTCAAGACCCTACCGCCTAATTTCATTCCTTTTTATGAGAAATATTATTGCCTATTTTTATAGATTTTTTAAAACTCAGTCATTTACGTAGCGTAGAAACATATTAAGTTTGCTGTTGATAGAAAGAGAGAAGCACCGTCTACGTCACGGTCATGCGGTGGCGCGGTTTGTTAAGTTCGAATGCAGCCAAGCTACATATTATATTTTTTTACGTTTAGGTTTTTATATTTTCTTCTTGTAAAGTTACTTCAACAAAAATATAGCAGTGCAATATAATTTATATACTATATACATATGTATATTCAGAATGCTTGAATCGAAATTTTTTATTTATGTATGTTCATTTATTTTCATGTCTGTTACAGGTGGAAACTGCCCCATTCGCTGCTCCAGAATCCGAACAACATAAAACGGTTGAAGAATTACCAATTGATGCGGATCAATCGTTTTCAAATGAATCTCACCTACACGCTGACTTTTTGCAACAAAACGAACAATTTTATCACAACGAACAACGAAATGATCACCAGGCAAAAGAGATAGCATCAGAGTCCGTATATGCAGGCTTTGAAGGTAACTTGTTTTCGACCCAGCAAGAGGATGAATCATCAGAATACCCTGCTAAGCAAGAGCTTGAAGTTAAGGGATTTGAATCGCCTGTTGCAGAATCTATTTCTATTGCTTCTCCCCCAGAACCAGAGCCGGTTTCTCTCTCAATTGAGACCCCGCTTGAACCGACATCTGTAGCTCACCTTGAATCGGCGGCTGCTGAAGTGGAGGCTGAGCCTGTAACTGAGCCAGAACATATATCACAACCAGAATCCTTAATTGCACTTGAGCCTGAGCCCAAGCCTGACAATGCCTTGCATGTGAGCAATGGCATTTCAAATGTGTCCACAATCGATGAAGCATTGCTGGTGACAACTAAAGACGTTGTCCCCACCACTCCAGAAGCTTTTTTGGAGACCGCTATTGACGAAACCAAGAAAGATGCTTCCGAAACTGTGGTTGCTGCCGCAACTATTGGTGCTATTGCGACTACGGCTGCCGTAGTAACTGTTGCTGCAACTGCTCCAAAGAAAATTGAAGTTAAAAAATCCCGTACTCCCACTTCGACAAAATCAAAGACAGTTGATATTAAAAAGGGTGCAGATCCAACAAAAAAGACTACTGGTGCTCCCACTAAAACGTCTGCTTCGACCGTATCTTCAGAAAGGCCACGTACAGCCCCGTCTAAGACGGCAACTGCCCCTGATAAGAAAGTGACAGCCACCACAGCTGCTGCTAAACCACCGACAAGCACTACTACTCGAAAACCCTTATCCTCCATTTCAGCAACATCTAGAACCGTTACTAAGACAACCGCTTCAACACGTCCGACTACAGCACCGATTGCAGCTAAGTCATCTGTATCGCGCACTAATGCTACTACAATTACACGCCGTTCGGCGCCCACTAGTACTTCTAATGGCACAACCGCCGTCGCTAAACCAAAAGCTGCTGGCAGTGCCCCAACTAAGCCAACTACTTTGGGTCTTTCGGCTACAGCCAAGCCGAAGTTGATTTCTCCCCGTACAACTTTAACATCACAACTTCGAAAGGCGGCACCTGCAAGTACAGGCACAGGCTTAACCACGGCTAGGAGTCCACTAAAGACTACGGCACCAACTACCAATGGCGTCACAAAGAGCGCAACAAACACAACCACTGCTAGTCGCGCCAAGAGCTCGACTTCTACCACAATAACAACTACAACTACAAAGACTTTCACTGCGCGGCCTGCACCTAAGACTACGCATTCATCCACTATTTCATCGACTACAACACGTCGGACTGTGGGCGTCGTTTCGAGTAGTAGCACAACCGGGGCAAGAACTACAAGCAGTATGTTGCAGAAAAAGACACCACCGGGCACCGGTAGGCCTATATCAGCCACCAAATCCTCACTTTCGCCGACTAAGCCATCAAGTGCAACTCTGAAATCGAAAACCAAAGATGTGGCTAAGAAACCAGTAACTCCAATTAAATCGGCAAATGAGTTAAAAGCGAAAGCTGCCGAAGAGCAACCCAAGTTGAACGGTACGCCTAGTAAATCAGGAGTAGAGGAACTGGGGAAACAAGTGGAGCACCAACCGCATTTGAATGGTGAAGGTGATGGGCCACAGAAAGTGTTTGAAAATGGTATGCATCATGAGGTGTTGGGGAACGGCGAGGACTCTCTACTGGATCAACATGCACAGGCATCTCTACTCGATGCCTAGAAAGTTAAGGTCTAGAAGACTTTGTAATTTTAAAGTGCATTAAGCAAAATGAAGAAATGGTAGACATCTAACAAAGCGTAATCATTTGAATGAAATGTTTTTGTGGGGAAATTAGCCTTGAGACGAATACAGACCGCTAGGATTGGGGGTAATAATAGTAGTAGCAGCAAGGAGAAACTGGCATTATTGCTATGCAGATTGCTAATCAATCATAAGGGAAACAAGTGAAGGGTGAAAAGTGTTTAGCTGAGTAGATGAAGGAATGGAATCGAACGTCAATAAGCGGTACACTATGAAAAACCGGAAATAACGTAAATCTGTCATTGAAAAATGCATGTAGAACGAAATCACAATGTTGAAATCAGAAATAACTAAAATAACGACTAACATACAGAATTAGAAAGAGAAAACAAAATTACATTTTGTGAGGAAAATATTTTCAATTTGAACTTGGGCATGTTTGTCATTGACTTTCATTCTGCCTAAATTTAAAAATTTTGCACGTTTTATTTCTTAATGTTTACATACATATACATTATTTGTCACTTTGTACGACAAGTTGCACGTTTGTTAGTGGTATTTTTATTTTGTTGTTTCTTCAGAATGAATATTTTTCAAAAATACATACTTACCTACATACATACATTAATGTTTTTTTGCTTTGCTGTTATAAAATTTTGTTAGTTTGATGACTAATATTTTAATTACCTTTGTATGGCTTTAGTTCTTGAGCATGATATTAAAAGCGGTTTTTGTTTTTTATGGCGCAATTTTCTATGTACATCGTCTATAATTTATATTGCACATTTATAGACCAAATGACAAAATCAATGTTTGTATACATTTTTTATACTTATGTATGTATACTCAAAATCTATTTTGGATTGAGGTTTTAGTGCTAATCGTTTATTATGTTTTCCTTAGTATTGTAATCAATTTTTAATTCTTTCTTGTCAATTTGTTGGTTGATTTTGTGCTGGTGAATGTATGGAAAAACACGAAAAACGAAATAAAAATTATAAACTATGAAAAAGTAAACTAAACAAAAAAAAAATCCTACTACTTACGTGGAAGCCAGTAATTTTGGCCAAATAACGGTATAGTTTACACTATCGAACTTATACTACACAAAGTCTTAACTTGTGAAAAAACGAAAATAAAAAGGCATTCAAAAATATAAATAAACGAAAATAAAAAATCAAGTGCGAAACGCGTTGCACGAAAAAATTATATGAAGTAAAAATATCTTTTATATACACATATAAACATGAAGACCTATTAAATAATAGATGGCATGCAAAAAGATATTAAATCACTGAATATATGTAAATCATATTAACGATCGAATTGTGCATTTTTTTGATATATTTTTGTACTTCATTATTCTGTTCCTGCTTACAACTAGTGAGAAAATGTATAACGCAAGAAAACGACACAGTATACTTAAAGATTTTAAATTTATTTAATTTTTATTTGTAAATCAAAGTATGGACTACTCCTGCTCCTACCCAGTGTGTTATTATTATTACTTTCTTTGAAATTCATAATTTAACCTTGGCTGATGTTACCCTTTGTATTATTTTTTTAATTTATTAATATTAAAAACGAAATTCTCAACTTAAAAGTCTGTCAAACATATATACATATAATATTATATTATTCTGAAAACTACGATAATTTTACGATAAACTTGTATGCAAAGAAAAATGATTAAAAAGCTACAAAAAAAGAATAAAACTTATTTATGTGTTTTTTTTTTGTTTTTAACATTTTTGATTATATTTTTGGTAACCGCAGCAACCAAATTTATTATTTAAATATTTTCCGCAAAAGTAATGCAAAGCAGATCACTTCAAAAAATTTAAGAATAGTTTTCAATTTACAAACTGCGGGGGTATGTAAATGTTTAAGAGATAACACTACTGTAATCACATATCATCGCCTGGATAATAGATAATCGCTATTTTGACAATTTTTAGTTAAAGATGCAGTGACACATTAGCGCACACAAGGGGTGAGTTTTGAGGTTCAAACACCCCTTAAAGCTAATAACCTCAAATATACAAAGTGTAAAAGCTTATAGCCTTTTCTTTTCTCGAAATAATGTTACATTTATTCTGCCCTGCGCCAGGGCTGTAAAGTTTTCGTGTTCTTTTCTCAGCATCTTGATATGCATATTGCGTTCTCTTTCTTTAAAATGTTGCACTCTGATAATGTTGCCATATAAGAAGGTGAAATCTTTTTCGAGAAAAGAAAACGCCATTAGAATCCAGCTCTCAAGGAAAATCACAAGAAATATTTGTTATTATTTCTTTTGCTTTAAATAGCGCTTTTTTTTGCTGTAAATTTTCTTGAAGAAATAAATATGTATACGAGCATTTTTTTTTTTAAAGCTGAACTTGAAATTTGAACTGCGAATGAAAACATTCGACCTTATGCTGAATATCGTCATCGCCAATAAAAGTGACGATACGGCCCTCGTACGCCATGTTACTGATACGCTGACGATCGTCGACGATGACAATGACGATATTCAGCATAGGGCCGAATGTACTGAAAATATGCAATGCATACTCACTTACTGTTTTTTTTTGCACTTTACAAGCTAAAAGAGAAACAAGGATTCGAAGATTTAATTTTCCAACTTCGAATTCGTTCCACCAAAATGAGCTACATAATAAAAATACAAGTTCGGTTAATTTTCTCGGTTTTCAAAATTTAAAAAAAAAAATGAGATAATCGTGAAAAATCACCATCTCTATCGAAAACCAGAAATCGAGGAAAATGAACATATTAGCGTAAAAATTTCATGGACTTAATTTATTTATTTTTATTTAAATTATTTTTAAAATTTTTTGGTTATTTTTGGTATATTTTGTGTTTATAGAACTTTTTATTAAACAAGTTAAGCTAAAAACACAACCGACTTCAATTCTCATATACAAATTTAGGGGTACCGCTAATTTCGTTATAATCCAATGATCGGTTCTAAACCAAACTACGGGACGACCCTTGAAGTACCACCTTTTCTATAAAAAAAAAATTATTATTGAAATCGGTTCACGTGGTCCAAAGTTATGCGGTAGCATACATAAAACAAGTAAAGAAGTACATATAAGTGCGAGTCAAACCAAACTTTATATACCCGGTACACGTATTAAATATCGATTTTTCACCTTTCAGTAAACTGCAATGTCAAGCCGTGATATATTGAAATAGGACCAGGTTTGGTGGAAACCGATAAGGCGGTTATCGATAACTTATGTATTCCTAAGTGGGTAGTGCCACGCCGATTTTACAAAAATCAATAATCATACGTCTTGTTAAGACATTGTAAATTGGAGTCTTTAGTTATTGAAATATCGGAGTTTTCGTAAGTGGCAAGTGGCGGTAATTTTAGTCCGATTTCAAAATTTTCAACATATTGTGTTTTTTCGCCAAGGTTGATAAATGTGAGTTTGGTAGAAATTGATGAACTGGGTATCGAGAAACACATATGTAGGCGCTAGGGCGGTGCCACGCCCATTTTCCAAGAATTTCCCTAAATATCATCTGCTAAAAGGTCATTGCATATATCAGGGGTGGGTAATGCCGAGGCCGAAAAGAGCCACATGTAAATTCTAAATTCTAAGAGCCACAATAAAACCAGCAAAAACAACAAAAACAAAAAATTTATTTGTAAATAAAATTATTATTAGAAATGAAAAACATTAATTTTATTATTATTCTAATGCACGTAAGATAGATATTACAGAAAATTCAAAAGATCCTTGGCCGAATTTTCAAAATCTCGATTTACCTCAGTTAAAGCCGTTCGTAACAGTGCTGTTAAATGGTGGTTACTTAATTGTGAACGGTATTTTGACTACAAATTTCATTGTAGAGTACAAAGACTCACAGTTATACGTTGTACCAAAAATTGAAATTATACGGCACGCAGCTGTTTTCAACAGCGATATTTTTAATCTGGTACATGTTGCCGGAATTCAAGCAGTTGCAAAGCTTTATGTAGCATTACCAGTGTCTTATCCTCTTTTCATTCCAAAAATCACCAACTCTTTTTCGCTTTTCTTAAAAAGGAGTATTTCGGATATTGTAAATTCATCCTCAATTATGTTACATAGAAAAGGGTTTATGAAGTATGCAAATGTACATTTAAATAATTTCAAATCGGCAAATCTTTTTTCAAAATCTGCTTTTAAATCATGTAGTTTAACGACATAGTGGTGCAATTTATCTTCTTTGACATGTGCAATATTTTTTTCTAGTCATGGAAAATGATGAAATATTCTTTTTTTGAGATCATGTATAAGAAGGCGTAGTTTAGCTTCAAAACTTAAAATAATTTGCGACAAATCAAAAACATTTTTATTCTCTCCTTGTAGAAACGAATTAAAGTTTTGCAATGTTCCATCCAGCCATGTCAGATCTACAGATTTTTCCGTACAGTATGGATTTGCAGGGGTGAAAATGGTTGTACGAATTCAACGTACGGATTTTTAGCTTTCCGTCAAGATGTACGGATTTTCAGAGTGTTGTTTTTTTCATATTGTAAAAATTTTCCTTCTTTACAAATATCTCAGGTTTCTTATAGTTCCTGAACCTTCCATGTTTTTATTAAAAAAATGCGTTGGTTTCGTACTTGAGGGACCTAAGCATTATACTGTGACTCGGTAGGTTCGAAAACCTACCTGAAAGGTGTTGTTGCATTTACATAAACTAAGAACACACTGCTTTTTGAAAAGTTCTAGTCAGAGAAATAAAAAAGGTGTCTGTGAAGCAAGAATTGGCTTAATCGATTTCCCTTTTCATTCTGAGCATTTATGTATACATTTGTCTATTTCTATCTCGATTCCTTTTGCCTGTTACAAACAACCATTTTGTGAATAAAGTTATAATACCCTTGTGCACAAGTGCGCTCGGGTATAAAAAGAAAAAATCTGCCTCATCGCGTAAGTCGTACATTTGGCTAAATTGTCCGACTCGGCAACAGTAGCATTGTCTATTGTCGTACTGAAATAATTAAAAGACCAAAATCATTGAAAACTATACAGTGCTGCCAAGTTTTTCCGTTTTAATACACTAGTCGAGTGAAAATTTTAGACAATGACGTGAAACTTTCGACTCTCGAAAAACGACTTGCATTCGANCCCTCTGGAAATTAGCAAATTGTGGCAATCATCGTCGCGTACTCAGCTACAGCCAGACATGTAAATGTGCATTTAAATGTTCACCCTCATTGCGAGAGTCGTGTCGGATGCAAGTCGTTTTTCGAGAGTCGAATCGTATCGAAAATTTCACGTCATTGCCTAAAATTTCCACTCGACTAGTGTATTAAAACGGAAAAACTTGGCAGCACTGTATAGTTTTCGACAAATTTCGTCGTTTACTTTTTTCAGCACGACAGTAAACAATGCCAATGTTGTCGAGTCGTACAATTTAGCCTAATTTACGACTCACGCAATGAGGCTGNGTGTTGCCCGAGCACGAGCAACTCGGTGCCCCTCTTCTTTCCTCGTCACGTTCTCTTCTGCAAACGTCAAGTTGCGGCAACAAAATGAACACTTCAAAAGTTTGAGTTCTTTGTTCATTTCATGCAAATAAAGTGCAATTTATGAAACTTTAAAAAATATATTTATTCATTACATACTGTACATAAAAGTTGCATAAATGTATTTTAGAGAGCATATTATCTTAAGCGAATTTTCAGTATTTTCTGATATATCTTTAGAAGTGTTATACGTTTATGGATATCTCCTTCAGTTTCTGAGGTATTGAGTAAATTTTATCGATAACGCGGTGTTGCACTGATCATTAACTTTTTAAGGGACCTAGCACAGGTCGTAGGGCTGGTCGAGTAATTCAGGGGTTCATTAAATACCCGGCGCAATTATTCAATATAGTTTTTTCACCTTTCCCAAAACTACCGCTACGTGGTAAGCAGGGGTGATTTTACTCTTGTAGGGATNGAATATTACAACGCGTTTTTTCCCTTAGTGTAGTGATTTTTGAACTTTTATTCAAATTTGTGCAATCAAATCAAAAACCGGGACATTTTAAGGTTGGACCGGGACACCGGGACAAATAGTCTAAAACCGGGACATGTCCGGGAAAACCGGGACGTCTGGCAGCTCTAGCATAATGAGATAAACTTATATAGTTATATGTACGCGGTAGCACGCCCATTTTCCAAAAATCCATAATAATATTGCGTCTTTTGAAGAGATTGTTGTTAGTATCAATTTTGTATAAATAAGCGTCATTAAATATACAAGTTTCAAGCATTTCTGAAATTAACCGTTATATGAAAAGTGAACATTATTTTAGCCTGATTTCAATAATGTTTTGCTTTTATGTGGCAAGCACAATATCATATCGAGTTTGGTACAAAATTGATTTAACGGTTACCGAGATACACATATGTAGGCGGGGCTACGCCAATTTTACAAACTTTTATCATAAACGTATTCTTGCTAAAGAATTATTGCAAACATAAACATAGACTTCGTATTATTCTGAATTACCGTTGTATGGGATGTAGGCGTGGTTATTGTCCGATTTTAAAAATTTTCAGTCGGTTGTATGTTGTTGGGTTGGGGGTGCCACGCTCACTTCCCTTTCGCCCACCGCCGCTTTAACGAACGCCCTAAAAAGTTCGTGATTTTTTTTATTTTTTTTGTAACACCTTAAAATTTAGTACAAATTGGGTAATAATTCAGTCATACTAAACAAGTCAAGGTC